TATACTATATATATATATATATATATATATATATATATATATATATATATATATATATATATATATATATATATATATATATATATATATATATATTTTCTGTCAAATTATATACAAATAAGCTTTTGAAGAATTTTTATGCCACTAATATTTGAAGCTGAAAACGAGCGTAAAGAAGCTAGACCCATCAGTCACCAAGCTAGAAATTTCAGGATCTAGCCAAAGAAGGATGTCAGAACCGAAAATAAACATCGTCTTAGTCTCTAAATCATTATCTTATTATAGGAAAATGTTGTACTACTGAGTATCAAACCAAGCAATTTACAATCAACAACTATCGATTTTGTGATCACTAAAAGTCAGCGACGAAATACTCTCAGTATTATGACAATTTTGGATCCTGCCAAAGTGAAATACATTTTGTCGAGTCAACTAGCTGCTCTGTCCCGGATTCTCGGTGGGGTACGCATCGAACAGGTGAAGATAGCTATAATGGAAAAATACCGAGAGAGTAATGATGGTAAAAGTATACAGCGGAATAATTTTGGTCTTCTGCTTATCCTATCCGTTGTTGCTACATTCCTAACTATTACCTACACCATTGCTGCCGTCCGAGTGTGCAGGTTAGATTTATTCAGACATATAAATAAATAAACTTAAAAGTTGAATTTGCCGCCTGCCACTTAGTTTTGCCATGAATGTAAACAACTATTTCCTTTAGCTTTAATATTCCCTCTTTTTTACTCACCCATATTCCAACTTAATCAGTACACAAATGCTCAAATCTGGATATTGCAATACCAACTCTCTCCTTAAGAAATAAGTACGATCCCTATTCCTTTTACTTGAACTTTTTAAAATTTTAAGTTGTAAGCGCGAATAACTGCATATCAGGATACACGACCTTCCTAGATATTAATATCGATTAGTATTACTTATGCCAGACATAAATCTTTTATAGTCGTTCATTTAAAATCAATTGTCCTAATTGAATTCAAGCTGCTCACTGACATTAACGTACATTCTTGTTTTTTTTTTTGCAGTAAATATTTACAACATAGATTAAGATTATCTTTCTATCAAAATGCAACATATGTAGTATAACAGTTGTAGAAAGGCTGTGGTTTCAATTCGGTATTTCAAGAATTTGGAAAAAGCAATGAAATTTGGTTTTCTCTGTTAGGAAAGTTCATACTCAAGTTCTGAAATGAAAGAATAATTCGAATAACCAGATGAATTCTAGGTTTAGGTTAACTCCTAGTTATCCAGAATTGACAACGCCACAAACTAACAGCGGCAGTTTAGAGAAAAATTTCCTTATTATACTTATTACAATCTTTTTACACATCAAAAACTTCGGAACTGTTTGATCATGCGAAAATTATATTTCAGTGATGGAAAAAAAAAACAACCATCAAAATCTAAAAAACAAGTGTAAATCTTACCATTCTCCATTTACTTATATTACGGGTGTCCTTTAGAAGCTATTATAACAACCCGTGCGCAATACCAACCTTGTTTAACTGGGCATCTAAGAAATCCAAAAAGTATAGAATTTTTCTGGTATCTAATGTTCTGTCACACATTGTAATCTTTTCATCTCTTTGTAAAAAAAATTGTTTCTTTTCATCAAAAACTTTTCACGATGAATTTACGAATAGCTTTTTTACTGCACCAAAGTTTGTCTTGGTCGATTCAGTTCCACTAGTCACATCAGTTACTTACTTAAAGAAGTTAAAAATTGTGATAATTTTAAATTCTGCAATTACTGTTTCCCCAATTCATCTGGATATATGCAAAATGCAGGGAATAAGCAGTGCCGATATTGAATAGGAATATAATCAAAAATTAGGCAAGCTTTAAAAAAGTCTAACCACCAAACGAATTCGAAAGCAGACATCCAAGCCTTCCTTGTGCGGTTGATTCTCAGCCATTAATGGCATACAGTGCCGTCACCTATATGAGACAGTACCGATACGTCATAATTTTCGAAGTGATCAAAAAGGATTATTTACTTGTTGATTCTGTACTTCTTCACTTTTGAAAAACCCTGCAGCTGACAAAAAACTGCATAGAACGGACAAATACGTAGATCAGGTACTCACTGAGGAAAAAAGCTATTTACTTTCTGAAATTTAAAAGACATGAAAAATTATCACTTTTCCTGACTACTACTAGTGCAAAATTTTTATTAATTTTCACAAACGATTTCTTAGTGAAATCCAACTACCGCTATCAGCTAGTCATTCATGCCAAACAGATATTCTACATTCTGTTGTCTAATTCTTTGACAAGATAAGCACATTTCAACATAATAATCATTCTCCTTTCATTCCCTCCTCCTAGTGACTCATTAAATATGTAAGCAGAACACTAAATAAAATGTAATCTAAATCATAAGAAAGTTTGAAGATATTGCGCCAAGTCTTTCCAGGACTATACTAATTTTCTTCAGGACTATACTAATTTCATGGTTTCAGCGTTAGTACGTTACTTTTCCAGTGTCTCAAACGCAAATATGACTTAGTATTCAAACTGCGTAATTTTTTATCAAAGAGTAATCGTTGAGAGACGTTGAAAAAGTCCTTCTGGTTCGATTTGAACTCATTCATATTTTTTCGAATTACAACTTTAAGTTTTTTGAACTGATTACGAAATAATTATTAGGTGTTATGACAATAACTGATTAGACAGAACTTAATTTCAGAGATTGTTATGCGAAAAGACAAGCAAAGAAGAATGCTAGCAAATTGAATAATGCTTTCGAAATGCCAAATTACGGCACTTGTATACAACCAAAGCAAAATGAGATGGACGGAAGCTATGAAGTTCATAGTACTATAAAGACGAGGACTTCTAAAGAAAATGATCAAAATAATCCAAATCCAGGAGAAGTAACCGTTATGGATGCATACCAAATGAGGCGAATGTTCCAGTGCGATCCATCACAGTTGCCAGCCGAAGAAGTGTCGCCATTATCACAAACTTCAAATGACTTATTCGTGATATTCGCTTTAAAATCCCTCAAAGAACCCAAATCACAAATCTGTGGTCCACAACCAAAACATACTATTCATCAATCGATAAAGGTAGGAGAAGAAAAAAAGAATTCCCCTCTCCCACACAAGATTAACAAAACATCTCAAGAAAATGAAGATATTGCCGAAGTACCTCAAAAATATACCAATATTTTGGCAACAAACAAACAAACTGCCGAAGAAACTTCCCATTATGATTCAAATCCAACAACTTATTTTCGTCAGGCAGAATATGAATTTTTTGAACAGCAGTTTAAAGAATTGCCGACCTCAATCAGTAATCAGGTGATGATTGAAGAATCACTAAAACCAACGTGCAACCAACCTGAAGTCATTCCCGAACTTATGAATTCAAATTTGAAAGGACCAACAATCGATGAACAGTTAGAAACAACCTCGAATCAACCTGCAATAGGAAATGAAACAGCTTGGTTGCCCAATATAGAACCAAGAGGCAAACCTTACAGCTTGACAAGTTCATTTTCTGAATCATTGTACGATGTAGCAAATCATTATAATGAAGGAACAATAAATTTAGAATTATATCAGTCGAATCAGGAAACGAAACATCGCACCGAAACTGAAATATCTAGCCCGAAAAGAGTTTCTCTAACGAATCAATTAAATTATCTCCAAGAAACAGAATCCTCGGACTATTTTGCAAAAGATGCCAAATCTATTCATTTCGTCGAAAAATCGCGATCAACCCATCAATTCGATAACTGGTCGAGTGAGAGTGATGATGAAGACGGTGATATATACCACAAATTATCAGAGGTCGAAGAAGAAAGAGAAACTGAGAGAAGTTCCAAATTTGTTACTGTGAGCTGCGTGGAAAAAGCCAAGGATTTCATAGGAGACCCTACTAATTCTCGAAATGAAAAGCATTTCGAACTAAATTTGAACATGCAATCTTCTATCTGTAAAAAACAATTCAAGGTTATTGCTGATGAGCCATGCTACGAACAACTGTAGGAATCACCGTTACCACCGAATTCGATAACTTTGAGTTCTATTTTCAACAAGCTTACACTGAACGAGTTTGTTAATTTCGCGCCTATGGATGATCTGAAGTGAAAGTGTCATTAAAGATTTCATTTTTTTTTAGTATTTCAATACAATCAAATCAAACATTCACTTTTTTCATCAATTTCACATTGAGGAAGTCCAATGCTTCTGGTGATATTACAATTTCATTTCAATAATTTCTATAAATTCTACGCAATTTATAGATTACCATGCATTCCTCTACCATTCCACTATATGAATGACACACCTCCTATCATAATTTTCTTCAGACAAAGAGCAAACCAAATGTATCATCTAATATATATATATATATATATATATATATATATATATATATATATATATATATATATATATATATATATATATATATATATATATAT